TATCCTTTTTAATTGATTATACGCACCCTCATTATGCTAATCTTTTGGTCGTAATGAAGATTTGATGGATAAATATATCTTTCAAATCATCAGAAATGAAGCTCAAGATGAAAGAGATTTTATCTAACTTTAAACTGGGAATGGTAGGAAAGATCTTGGAGGAACGAGAAGAAACAGCAGGCAAAAAGTTCCTCATTTATATTTTAATAAATGTATGTTTTGTAACTAGCCATGTCTGCCATGGTAATCCTTTCTCCTCATCAGTCATTTTGAGAGTGCTCAAAACATACATAATTTCAAAATTCCAACTATATGTGCCAGACTAAGTAAAATCCTAAGTAAGCCCTACCTACATACAGTACCTACATGCACATGCATACATTTCGGTCATAAAAAACAACTAATTCTGTCTGGGTCTCAAAATATATACATACTAACAAAAAACACTGAGTTTGGACACACTAGTGAATTTTTACTTATAGTAAAATTAAGTGAATTTATACTGATCTATGAGCATAATAAAGATTTGATTGATTGATTATATATGCCTGCATAGGTATAGTAAAATATAGATACTAAGTATGACCACATCCTTTACCGTTTGGGAAGTTAATGTAATTCTGCACATACTTTAAAATCAGAGAAAAGAAGAAGTTTTATATTATATTATAAACATTCTAATAAGAACAACAATTTGACAGTGGAATCAGCGATAATTTCCCTTTACTAAATGTACCGTGTTTTCCCCAAAATAAGACCCTGTCTTATATTTTTTGAACCCTGAAATAAGAGCTTGGCCTTATTGCCATGTGCTCAGATGTCTTATTTTGGGTATTATACAGGGTATTATAGCACATTTTTCATTGGATTCCTAGACTGAGCAAGGGTTTGGACTCAAAAGGCTAAATGGTTCCCTTCCACTTCTACAATTCTATAAAAAGGATTTTTATCATTTACTAAATATCAAACAAACATTGAAATAGGCTGAATATTAACTTTATATTAAGACACTGATGAAATATTCCACAATATGCAACTTCAAACAGCCTATTAAAATGTATAATTTATATACCGCATAAAAGCAAAATGAAGACTATTGCTAAAACATCTATTTCAATACTCCATTTATTGATTATTTTTGAAAAGAAACAGATGCTCTTAGTTAAAGTGAACACTTGTTTTCTCTGTTCTTGAAAAATTCAAGACAAAGGATCTCTAAAGGGCATACTTTATCCTTTAATTAGAATCGAATTGTAACCCTATACTTTGTTGTCTCATTTACTGAATAGAAGATTTTTTTTTTTCCTGGAGTCCCAGTTGATTTACTATATTTAGTCTTTTACTCTATTCAACAGTGGTAGAGGACTCACAAAGCTTCCTTGGTTTAAAGTCACAGGGATTAGAGGGGGTAGAGAAATGGAAATTTGCATACAGAAGAGACCCAGCCGCAAACACCAGACCACCAATCACAGAGATGATGTCCACCTAGCTTAGTATTTTAGTTTAAATGCCTTCAAATCAGTTTTTGACTCCAGCAACTACCCAGACAAATCCCTGCAGTTTTCTTGGCAAGATTTTCAAAATGGTTTGTCATTGGCTCGTTCCTAAGGCTGAGAGAGTCATTGGTCCAAGGTCATTCAGTAGGGTTTGTGACTAAGATATGTGTCTCAAACTTACGATCTTCCTGTTTCCAGGCTGATGTTTTAACACTTCACCAAACTGCCTCTAGCTTAGTATTACCTGCAGCAAATGGCAGCTTTCCTTCAAATCTATGGTCTTTCTGCCTTCAAGTTAAAAACACGGCAAATAGAGGTCTGAAAACCCTCATTGCTGAAGGCTAAGTAACGATGCCCTAAGACCAGGTTGCTCAGGCAAGTGGAAGTACTGTGATACAGAATCCCACCTCTGGGTCTCCCAGAAGAAAAGTGAAAAATAAATTTAAATACAGTGCCAGTGATAATGGTGCTGATCATCCTCAACATCCAAAGAAACTATCTGTATGGCTTATCCACGATGCCACCATTCATTCAAGAATCTTTTTCGGAACAGTGAGATTAAAGGGCTAATCAATAATTGTGAAAAAGTACAAGAGTTGCTACAAATGATAATAATGTAGGATAAGTTTTCCTAAAAGCTCTCTCATTTTTACCATTTTTTCACTGCAACATGCATTTATCAGATGAAAAGAGAACCAACAGAAATTACACACATGGGACAACAAAGAGCATATTAGAATATTTTCCAAAATCCATAATAATATACAAAGATTCCTCAGCAGACAAACTGAGAAAAATATCAACTCTTGGAGTAGAATGTTTGAAAAACAACTTTCTTAAAATAAAGTTAAACATTACCTCCATCTGCTGATAGATATGGGGATAACTCCACAATGTAAATAGATCCTTTTATCCTTTTGATAATTAAACATACACTTCATTTCTCATTGATCATTTCCAAGAAACAAAATAGGATAAATTTTTAAAAAGTTGTTTACTAAAACTCACCTTCCATTCTGGGAAGTATTACTAGGATGGGAGGTATAATATAAAAATAGATGTTTCCCATGGCTGTCCTCTCACATACAAATTGGTTTCTATAAACTGTCAAGACCCTGATTATATTTTCACTCCCTATTCCATTATATTCTGCTGAAAAAAGAACTGCTGTCCGTGATTCCTGAAGCAAAACCACTGCAAATACCTAGAAGATGTGATGCCAATAAATTTATTTGTTTAGCATCAATGAAGAAAAAACACCTGACCAAAACAGACCCATTTGCACAAGAGAAAACTATATGATTTCATTTTCTGGATATGTACTGATATTTTTCAGGTATAAATCTCATTTACGCTCATTTTCTCTTCTTCTCCCAATAAAGAATAATGGTCCTCATTTTTCTTAAGGGAACAATAAATTCTGATCAAATTCATGGGGATACATTTTTTTTGCTTCTTCATAGGGAAACACTTTTATAACAGGTTGTAATATAATTTCACAATCAAGATTTTACAATTTCTTTCTTAAGAAAGCTCAGGGATTATATGTTGAGAATACTTAAAAGATACACTAGCCCAGTGGTGGGATTCTGGGGGTTCTAGGGGGTTCGGCCGAACCCTTTGTTAAATTGCTGGCTCGCCCCGCCCCTTGCCCCGCCCCTCCGCACTACTATTTATTCCCAATAAATGGGGCGAGCGAGCCAGCAATTTAACAAACTGTTCGGTGTTTTTTTGTAATTTATTGGCCCCGCAGCACACCGAACCGTTAGTTAAATTGCTGGCTCACCTGCCCCTCACCCCGCCTCCCACCCGCGCGGCGCCAGCCTACCCTAGCCAGGGGTAGGCAATTGTGGCTCTTTTACAACCTGTGGACTTCAACTTCCAGAATTCCTGAGACAGCTTTGCTTTGCTTTGCTTTGCTGGCTGAGGATTTCTGGGAGTTGAAGTCCACAAGTCTAAAAGTTGCCAAGATTGGGGACCTCTGCCCTAGACCATTTTAGGAGCAAAGTAGTGGGTTTTGCTGGCATTTAAGGAGGAAAGGAGGGAGGAAGAGAGAGAGAGAAAAAGAAAGAAAAAGAAAGGAAGGAAGGAAGGAGGGAAGAAAGGAAGGAAGGGAGAGAGAGAGAAAGAAAGAAAGAAAGAAAGAAAGAAAGAAAGAAAGAAAGAGAAAGAAAGAAGAGAAAGGCAGGAAGGAAGGACCACAAACCATGGCACTAGACGTGGTTTCAGAAGATGCTTTGAAACAGGATAGCAATCTAGGGCTGGAAGGGACCTTGGAGGCCATCTAGTCCAACCCCCTGCTCCAACAGGAAACCTTATATCGTCTAGATTGTTTTGGTGCCTCCAACAGAGAGGAAAATTGCCAGAAAGGAAAAGGAGTTTACTAGGACAAGGCTGCCATGCGGAGGAAGGCAGAGATAGTCCTTGACTTATGACCACAATTGAGCACAAAATTAGAGTTTAGAGACAGGAAACCTTCCAAGGTTTCTGGTGGGGGAAGGTTTGAGCTGTGGAATATCTCACTGCCACACGTGTGTCCCCCCCCTCGCCCTTTTTTGCCTTGAAAAGGCAGAAGCTTGAAGAGGTTGCAGAAAAAAAATGCTCTTAGAAGCTTCTGAGGATCAGGCAACTCAGCTTAGATTGTCAGAGGTTTTTAAAGGGATTTTTTGAAGAGGTTGTAGGGAAAAAAATCGCTTTAAAAGCTTCTGGCGATCCCAGCAGATTTGTGTGATCGTCAGAAGCTTCTAAAAGCATGTTTTCCTGCAACCTCAGCCGAGGAGGTTGTAGGAAAAAAAATCCCTTTAAAAGCTTCTGACGATCCCAGCAGATTTGCCTGATTGTCAGAAGCTTCTAAAAGCATTGTTTTCTGCAACCTCTTAAGGTTGTAGAAAAAATGCTTTTAAAAGTAAAAGTTAAAAAAAAAATTGGCCATGCCCACCCAGTCACATTACCCACAGAACCGGTAGTAAATGGACTACTCAGAGGGCTGAAAAAGTTATTTTTGACCGGTCCTCGCACTTTTGACCAGTCCTTGAACTTACGACTTTCCTCACATTTTACGTTTTGCGCCCTATCTTGTCACCGTGGTGAAGAGAAGTAGTGGTGAAATGACTGACACGGTTGTTAAGAATGCTGCACGGGCATAAATGTGAGGATGGTCATAAGTGTGAGGACCGGTCAAAAGTGTGAGGACCAGTCAGAAATGACTTTTTTCAGCCCTCTGAGTAATCCCTATGCACATAGCCACGCCCACCCAGTCACATGACCAGCTAGCCATGCCTACACAGTCACATGACCAGCTAGCCATGCCCACCCAGTCACATGATTGCCAGGCCACACCCCCAACCAAGCCACGCCCACAGAACCTGTTGTTAAAAAAATTGAATCCCACCACTGCACTAGCCTCATCAAAAAACAACAATTCTCAACAATTCTTGGATATAATGTTATAAAAAAGGACAATCTTTCCATGTTTGTAATTGCTGAACATTATAATATACTTACCCTACGGAATGACACCACATAGAATGTATCTCCCCTTCTGTGAATCGCATCAAAAAAATCTTGATAATTTTGTGGCGAAGCATAATAAACCTGTAGCTCACTTCCTGAATTCCCACTGAAATAGATGAGAAGATACTATTGGAACTAGCATACATAAAACATCTGAATGTATCATAAAATAAACCAAGCATCCAATAGCATCATTTGCTCTCCAAATTATCAGGAATAGCATGCTTTACTGCTTTTGTAATATCACTGTACAAAGCCAGAAATTAGTACACAGTATCATAATAGTTACCTTTTTCTTTTAATGAAAGTATATACATGCCACTAGTGTTATAGAATCTAAAAATACAGTTAGTAGACAGATAAGTGCAGAAAGAGGTGTGGGAGAAGCCATCTTCTGCTGACTGCAAAATATGGAATTACAATGTATAGTTAAGTAACGATAATACGAATGAGGTTTTAGTTCTGATAGGCAGCAAAGAATTTATATGCCAATTCCAGCAAGACAATTGTTTCAGAGTAGAAAAAGTAGGAAAAATTGCTCATGTGTGACAGGTTAGGCCTCGGGTATCAGACATATTCAATATTTTCTGAACCCTGGGTAGCAGAACTAATGAAAGGGAAATATTGATGCTCTTGTGCACATTTGTGAATTTTCTAGAAAAATATATCTGGCCACTGTAGGAAATGGAATACTTGACTAGATGAATCCTTAAAAAGTTTGAATGAAAACTGGGTTAACAGGGGATTGCCAATAAAATTATCTGGCTCTTTTCAGTAAAACAATTAAATATTTCCTACATAAGGGAACATTTTAAACTATATAATATTATACTGATGAGAAGATTCTATTTTGACTTACCCAACACTGTTGTCTGTATAGGGAAGAGTCATTAGTTCAGAATTTTTTCCTGAAGCACTCTGGGGATAGGAAAAAAATGAACAAGGAAATAACTTGAGTGGCGCAGCAGACTAATGCTACTGTTAAAGGTAGTATTTAGCTTCCAGCTGCCTGCAATTACTGCGAGTTCAATTCTCACCAGGCTCAAGGTTGACTCAGCCTTCCATCCTTTCTAAGGTAGGCAAAATGAGGACCCGGTTTGTGGGGGCAATAAGCTGACTTTGTATAAAATATACAAAAGTATGAAGGCTATTGCTTAACGCCTTGTAAGCCGCCCTGAGTCTCCGGAGAAGGGCGGCATATAAATAAATAAATAAATAAATAAATAAAACTTATACCAAATTAAATATAAAAACTAAGTATCACTTAAAGACAACTGTGATATAGCATTACTAAAGTTCTATAGTAGATATACAAATATGCAGGAAAAATTATAATTAAGTATATATATTTTTAAAATGCAAGGCATTTTCAGATGTCTTCCAAAACAATTCAAACTACCAATGTAAGTATCTCACATGATACTTAAGTTCAAACATTAACATTGAGATGTATCAGAATTTTGTTCAATCCCTGGAACACACAATTCTGTCTTTTGAACTTCTGGGCCTGAGGATCTTATTTTTCCTCCTTCTCTTCTACTGCTGCCATAAAATATAAGTGATTCCACAAACCTACCTGGACAGTCTGCTCTTTTTGCTGCTGATTATTTGACATCCTTCTTGATCTTGTTCTTTCTGCTTCATGTCTATGTACCCAACCTCTTAGTTCATGACTTAACCTGTTCATATAACATGAAAATTAAACAATATAATCATAGGAATGAAAAAAATATCTTCAAGGACAACCTTCTCCATAAGAACTTAAAAGCACTGATTTTGAACTCATATTCAGGTTGGCCTTGTTTATGCACTCAAAGAAGAATCTCAGAAATAATGTCTCATTTTATCTACATCAGATTTCAATATTTGAATTTGGATCTCCCAATCAGTTTGTGCCTGCTTAGGATAGGTGAAGATTGGTAAGATGTAAGAAAGTAAATTTGCTTATTCCTAAATGATATTGGGAATATACTACATGAACTCCAGTATAGATGCCTATAAAACACATTTGCTTTTAGCTATGGCACTGAAATGGACATGGAATTGCAAGCTCATCAACAAACCTTCCAATAAATTGCTATCGTAACTCATAGTGTTGACTAATATTCTGTCAATGTTACAGAATTTATTTGAAATGCATAAAATACATGAGAGGACACTTTTTATGTGGTAGTTTTATTCAATATTACAATTAAAAAGATAAAAATGAAAACTAAGAAAAATACAATAGAGAAAAAAATACAAAGTTCAGAAGGCAGAAGTAACAATAGGAAAGAAACAATAAAAATATACTAAAGAAAATAAAAAATAGAAATAAAATTAAAAAAGAAACAATAAGAATATACTAAAGATATATATAAAGAAATGACTTCTCCGTTCATCACAGTACAGTACAGTATAAATAATTTTAGTAACTTATCTCCTTCTCTTAAAATACAACACTGATCTCTTCTTTCCATACCTCATCTTTCTATAAACAAATCCTTAAATGCTTGTTATTCAGTCCTCATTAGCAAAAGTCCATTAAAGATTACCAGAGATAACAACATGTCTACTTTATCCTTGATCAATAAACCAACTTGATATTCCTTCCTTTTACTTTTAACAATCTGGATGTCTTTAAATGGTCAGTGGTTGAGTGATCTTGAGATAGGGGATATAGTGATCGAGCCCTTGTCATGGTCAGATCACTCCCTCCTTCGCTTTGACCTTCGAACCGCCGCACCCCGCCGCAGGGAGGCGGAACCATTGAGGTGGTACCGCCCCAGGCGCCTGATGGATCCTGATAGGTTCCAGACGAAGCTTGGGCCATTTCCTGAGGCTCTGGCACACGGCTCGACTGAGGAGCTGGTGGCCGCCTGGGATAGGGCGGCTGCTGGAGCTTTGGATCGGGTCATGCCTTTGCGGCCTCTGACCCGGCGTCGATCTCGCCTGGCTCCTTGGTTCACCGAAGAGCTGAGGGAGATGAAGCGCCGGAAAAGACGCCTGGAGAGTGGTTGGAGGGCCAGCCATTCTGAATCTGACCGAACACTGGTAAGGTCTCATATTAAGACCTACCTGGTGGCGATAAAAGTGGCGAAGTATAACTATTTTGCCACTCTTATTGCGTCATCAGATAATCGCCCGGCCGCCCTGTTTAGGGTGACCCGCTCCCTGCTCCACCAGGAAGCGCGGGAGGACCCCTTGGAGGGTAGAGCCGGGGATTTTGTACAGTATCTGTATGACAAAATCGCTCAGATTCGGGAACATCTGGACTCTGACTGGGTAGATTCAGCGGGGAGGACAGAGGCAGGTCTTGTGAGTATTATCTGGGAAGAGTTTGATTCTGTGACGCCCGAAGACGTGGACAGGATACTGGGCAGACTGAGCGCAGCCACATGTTTACTGGACCCATGTCCCTCCTGGTTGGTGCTGGCCTCTCGGGAGGTTACACGAGGCTGGCTCCAGGGGATTATAAATGCTTCCTTGAGTGAGGGTGTCTTCCCTGCCGCCTTGAAAGAGGCGGTGGTGAGGCCTCTCCTCAAGAAACCTTCCCTGGACCCGGCAGTGTTGGCAAATTATCGTCCAGTCTCCAACCTTCGCTTCGTTGCGAAGGTTGTTGAGAGTGTGGTAGCGCGACAGCTCCCCCAGTACCTGGATGAATCGTCGTATCTGGATCCATTCCAGTCGGGCTTCAGGCCTGGGTACAGCACGGAAACTGCATTGGTCGCGTTGGTTGATGATCTCTGGAGGGCTCGGGACAGGGGTTGTTCCTCTGTCCTGGTCCTATTAGACCTCTCAGCGGCTTTTGATACCATCGACCATGGTATCATGCTGCACCGGCTAGAGGAGTTAGGGGTGGGGGGCACCGTCCTACGGTGGTTCTCCTTTCTCTCTGACCGGTCGCAGTCTGTGTTGACAGGGGGGCAGAGGTCGACCCCGAGGCCCCTTGTATGTGGGGTGCCACAAGGGTCGGTCCTCTCGCCCCTTCTGTTCAACATTTATGTGAAGCCGCTGGGTGAGATCATCCGTGGTTTTGGGGTGAAGTACCACCAGTACGCTGATGATACTCAGCTGTACATCTCCACCCCGGACCACCCCAATGATGCCCTTGAAGTGATGTCCCGGTGCCTGGAGGCCGTGCGGATCTGGATGGGGAGAAACAGACTCAGGCTCAACCCATCCAAGACCGAGTGGCTGTGGTTTCCGACATCCCGATATAGTCAGTTGGTGCCATCACTGACTATTGGGGGCGAGTCACTGGCCCCCACGGAGAGGGTTCGCAACTTGGGTGTCCTCCTGGACTCACGGCTGTCTTTAGAAGAGCACATGACGACCGTGGCCAGGGGGACTTTTTTATCAGGTCGCCAGTTGCGTCCCTTTCTGGATCGGGACTCGTTAAATACGGTCACTCATGCTCTCGTTACTTCCCGCTTGGACTACTGCAATGCTCTCTACATGGGGCTCCCCTTGAGGAGCACCCGGAGGCTCCAGCTGGTCCAGAATGCGGCCGCGCGGGTGGTTATGGGAGCGACGTGGCGCTCCCATGTGACCCCCCTCCTGCGCGAGCTGCACTGGCTCCCGGTGGTCTTCCGGGTGCGCTTCAAGGTTTTGGTTACCACCTTTAGAGCGCTCCATGGCATCGGACCAGGGTATCTACGAGACCGCCTTCTGCTACCAATAGCCTCTCACCGACCAGTACGCTCCCATAGAGAGGGGCTCCTCAGGGTGCCGTCGGCCAAACAGTGTCGACTGGCGGCCCCCAGGGGGAGAGCCTTCTCTGTGGGGGCACCTACCATCTGGAACGAGCTCCCCCCAGAGATACGGAAGATCCCGGACCTGCGCACGTTTCGCCGTGCTCTCAAAACTTTTCTATTTCAGCAAGCTGGCCTGGCCTAACTCCCATCTTTTAAATTTTTAAATTTTTTAATTCTTGATTTTACAAATTTGGTGTTTTAATCTGTGTTTCGGCCGAAATATTTAATAATTTTAAGGGATTTTTTAATATTTGTATTATCTGTATTTTATCTTGGCTGTTCACCGCCCTGAGTCCTTCGGGAGTAGGGCGGTATAAAAATTTGATTAATAAATAAATAAATAAATAAATAATGCCCTAGAACTTGATTTCTTTTCATTTTTTCTTTGTTCAAAATTTTAACAAGTCTCTTTTATAAATCCAATATAGGAAAATTATCCAGGTTGCTCTTTTAGCTTCTTACTTAGATATTCCTTTTAACCAGCGAGTTTTATTTATACATCCAGTGAATTGAATACTGAGGAAGTCAAACATTAGGTCCTAATGCGTATCTGGCACTAACATTTCTACTATTTTTAAACAAACAGCTTACCTGAGTGATTGTGTCCGGTTGATAAATGGCTGGCAAGGTGGTGGAGGAACATATATTATTGGTTCCTCAGTAACTACCATGAGTGCTTTGTTATCCGAAACTGATGGCTTATATCTAGGAAATAATTTTTTAAAATATTTAACATTGTACATCTATTTTAAAATAAATGTATTATACAGACAAGTAGTAAATTAAAAAAGAGAATGGCATCTGTGAAACTAATAAAATAGTTCAACCAATGAAATAAAGGTAAAGGTAAAATAGATTAAAATCAAGCAGGATACAAAATCTTTTGTTCATTCAGTAAAAACATATGACTGAGTGCCTCATAATATTTTCCTTCCGACTTCCGGCTGATGTCGCGTCAATATCAAATGCAGGGAACGGGTCTCTACATTCCCTGTGCTGAGTTCTCCGTGTTTGTGGGCTCCGAGAGGAGCCAAAGTCCCCTTGTAGGGGCGGTGAACCTAAGGAGGGGCGCCCTGAGAGGTCACGGAAGAGATTGCAACTCTCCTGCTGAACCCCAGGCTTTTTTCCCTCTATGCCACAGTGAGGAGAAGAGGCAGCTTAAAGATGGCTGCCATGAAGCTGGGACAGCCAAGAAACATCTAAGAACTGTACTGGAGCGGAGTTGTTGAACAGTGTCTGGAACTGGGTGAGAAGAATCCTTTTGTCAGGTTTTGAGGTCGTCTCAAATAAATTGCATTTCAAACAAAGTCTTTGATGAAAAAAAACTCCCATTTATTAAGCACAACATTCTAATTCCGACTCCATCGTAGCCAACACTGACTTCCAGACCCAAAACCCTCTCTTTCCGTTCCCCATTCCCCTGCACTCATTGGCCATCTTTCAAGTCACTCTACCCCTAATCTACTGCTCCAGCTCAAAGGAATTTCCCCCCTCCCATCCCATCTCCTAGGGGATATTATCTCCAGGGAAAATAAGTAGGTGAAAAGTCAAACATCCCTTTCCAGACGCCTCCGCTTCTCCTTATGTCAGCACTAGAGTAAATGCAGCTTGAAGTGCTGACACTTTATTTAAAACTCAACCCCAAAAGAATATCCAGGAAAAGAGAGGCTCACTTCTATTTTAAAAGCAGTGATTTAACATTTTGAGAAGAATTTCAAAATTGAAGGAAAAAGAATCAAAGGGAGAAAGGCAAAAACCTTTAAAAATACAGAAAATTGGATTTTTAAATTGGACAGGCGTTGTTTTGGATAGGCATTTTAAAATGCTGGAACTATTTACTTAAAAAACTAATATCTTTATATTTTGGGTTGTTACCATTAAAATTGGATAAAACTTAATACTGAAATTTGAGTGCCACCTGCTGACAAAAGGAAGGCATAACACATTCCCAAAATCTTGGAAATACTTGACTATTCGAGATTTAAATGTGAGAATAATAATAATAACTATTATTAAAGTGACCCCTGAAGACATCAACTTTATTATTAAAGTGACCCCTGAAGACATCAACACAAGACTGAATTTATAGAGGGACTTATGAAGGTTCTGGAAAAATTCTTGGAACTATCCAGAGGAACAGGTCGATCAGCTTTGGGATATAAAGATTCATGAATACTGAACTTTTTGAGAAGTGACTTTAGGTTTGAATATATGGTTTTTGGATTATTGGACAAAAGAGGGACAAAATAAAACTAAACGAGATGCTCCACCAGCAAGAAGAGAGTGGATTTGGGGAGAAACGGCATTGTTAATTCAAAGTATTAAGGATATTTTGACAAGAAGCTACAAGGAGTATGAATAAAATGCAGATCATAGATGGAGAGCTGGAAAACATGATACAAAGGACAAGGAGTGACCAAGATGCCCAGGAAGAGGAGAAGCCAATTGAAAGAGTAGATGAAAAAACAGAATAGAAAAACCAACAAATAAAACGAGATGACAAAAAGGAGATAACTACAAAAACAACAATGACTGATGAAATAAGCTTTTTTGGGAGAGAGATAGGGGCAAGAGTAGATCGTTTGAAAATTAGACAATGGAATAGGGCAGAGAAGGGAGAAATGTTTAACATGATGGGTCAAGATACAGACAAAGATCCAAGAGAGGAATATGGGAGGCAAACTAAGAAAAGAACAATTAAAGCTTTAAAGCGGGCAAGAGACGATGGATAGAAAGGGAATATTTTTAAATATAATAGTGGCATAATTAAAAGTTAGAATAGGGATGCAAAATAGAGGAGGGGATTAATGGAATACACATTTTTATATAATAAAGTGAAGTAATAACAAGAGGGGAAATCAGAATTTGAATGATGGTATTATCAAGTATGCTTGAATAATATAGTGATTGGCATAAATATAACATATTGAAATATTGAATAATTAAATAATGGAAGATTATAATTTAACATAAATATGTGTATTATTATTAGAACCATATAAGCTTGCTAAATGTAATAAATATGATTAATAATATTTTATTTGTATATTTATACAAAGTCAGCTTATTGCCCCCACAAACTGGGTCCTCATTTAACCTACCTTAGAAAGGATGGAAGGCTGAGTCAACCTTGAGCCTTGGAGAGATTCGAACCAGCAGTAAATTGCAGGCAGCTGTGTTAATAACAGGGTGCTTTAAACCACTGTAGTACCAAGGCTCTTTTAAATATACAAAAGTATGAAGGCTATTGCTTAACGCACTGTAAGCCGCCCTGAGTCTCCGGAGAAGGGCGGCATATAAATCAAATTTTTTTTTAAAAAAAAAATATTTTATTTGTTGTAAAAGGAATGACACCCAGAATATGGTCATTGGCATAAAAATAACATACAGTATTGAAATATTGAATAATTAAACAATGAAAGATTATAACTTAACATAAGTATGTGTACTATTACCAGAATTATATAAGCTTGTCAAATGTACTAAACATGGTTAATATTATTTTATTGGTACTAAAATGTAAAACACTCAGGTGCCACACTGTTCATGCAGTGATATGTTTTTAAAAAAATAAAAAAATAAAAAACTTGAAAAAAAATATTTTCCTTCAGAAAATGATAAGATATGAACCAGCTGATATCACTGTTAAATGGATTCACCATTGACTGAATTACCACAGCAAAAGAATGCTCATTCATGCCCCCCCCCATCCCAGCTGGGAGGAAAGTACTGAGTGAAGTCTCAAGAGTTTAGGATTCTTATCACTGACTCGATTAAGAGATTTCATATCAAATTTGGAAATGACACAAACTGGGATGGGAGTAATATTGTTGAGATAAGACAGTAGTTTAGAAAAAATAAAAGAAAGAATTGGCCTGAAAAAAATAGGGTTGATTTCAACAGGGAAGGGAATACAATTATGCATCTGGATTGAAAAGGAACACATGTTTGTTTTATTTGTTTTATTAGATTTATATACTGCCCTACTCCCGAAGGACTCAGGGCGGTGAACAGGCACAAAATAAAATGCATAGATACAAAAGTTAAAAGACATAATTAAAACCAGATTAAATAATTTAGCCTGAGACAATTAAAAAATCCCAATAATTTAAAACAGATTAAAATTTCGATTTAAAAGAATTTTAAAACAGGGGAGAAAATTAGGCCAGGCCAGCTTGCTGGAATAGAAGAATCTTAAGAGCACAGCGGAAAGTGTGTAGATCCGGGATCCTCCGTATCTCTGGGGGGAGCTCGTTTCAGATAGTGGGTGCCCCCATAGAGAAGGCCCTCCCCCTGGGGGCCGCCAGTCGACATTGTTTAGCTGACGGCACCCGGAGGAACCCCTCTCTATGAGAGCGTACTGGCCGGTGGGAGGCTGCTTGGGTAGTAGGCGGTCCTGTAAATAACCAGGTCCTAAGCCATGGAGCGCTCTAAAGGTGTTAACCAAAAGCTTGAAGTGCACCCGGAAGACCACCGGGAGCCAGTGCAGCTCGCGCAGGAGAGGTGTCACACGGGAGCGCCATGTTGCTCCCATAACCACCCGCGCGGCCACACTCTGCGCCAGTTGGAGCCTCTGGGTGTTCCTCAAGGGGAGCCCCATGTAGAGAGCGTTGCAGTAGTCCAGGCGGGAAGTGACGAGGGCATGAGTGACTGTGTGTAGGGAGTCCCGATCCAGAAAGGGACGCACCTGGCGAATCAGGCGAACCTGATGAAAAATCCTCCTGGTCACGGCCGTCAAGTGCTCTTCTAAAGACAGCCGTGAATCCAGGAGGACACCCAAGTTGCGAGCCCTCTCCGTGGGGGCCAGCGATTCGCTCCCAATAGTCAGCGATGGCGTCAACTGACTATATCGGGACGTCGGAAACCACAGCCACTTGGTCTTGGATGGGTTGAACCTGAGCCTGTTCCTCCCCATCCAGATCCGCACGGCCTCCAGACACCGGGACATCACTTCAAGGGCATCGTTGGGGTGGTCCGGGGTGGAGATGTACAGCTGTGTGTCATCAGCGTACTGGTGGTACTTCACCCTGAAACCACGGATGATCTCGCCCAGCAGCTTTACATAAATGTTGAACAAAAGGGGCGAGAGGACCGACCCTTGTGGCACCCCACATATGAGGGGCCTTGGGGTCGACCTCTGTCCCCCTGCCAACACAGACTGCAACCGGTCAGAGAGAAAGGAGAACCACCGTAATACAGTGCCCCCCCATCCCTAACTCTTCCAATCGGTGCAGCATGATACCATGGTCGATGGTATCAAAAGCCGCTGAGAGGTCTAATAGGACCAGGACAGAGGAACAACCCCTGTCCCAACCCCTCCAGAGATCATCAACCAATGCGACCAATGCCGTTTCCGAGCTGTACCCAGGCCTGAAGCCCGACTGGAACGGATCCAGATATGTCATTTCATCCAGGTACTGGGGGAGCTGTCACCCAACCACACTCAACAACCTTCGCAACAAAACGAAGGTTGGAGACCGGACGATAATTAGCCAACACTGCCGGGTCCAGGGAAGGCTTCTTGAGGAGAGGCCTCACCACCGCCTCTTTCAAGGTGGCAGGGAAGTCACCCTCACCCAACGAAGCATTTATAATCCCCTGGAGCCAGCCTCGCGTCACCTCCCGGGAAGCCAGCACTAACCAGGAGGGGCACAGGTCCAATAAACATGTGGTCGCGTTCAGTCCACCCAGAATCCTGTCCATGT